TTGTTTTTGGAGAGGTGTTTGCTATAGGGCGTGTGCGCTCACCAGACAGACAGAGACAGAAAGACAGAAAGTGAGAAATCACCCCCCAGGGGGGATGGCCACACCGCAATCCCTTCTCCTCTCGGGATCTTGGGCACGCTCGCACGCATACTCGCCCGGTGTGAGTTTTAAGCCACCAGGTCCGGGACATGAACCATGGTCTACTATATGAGAGTCCAGCGACATAGCCATTACACTAACTGCTGGTCCCCAGTAAAGGCCTCTTCACTGAGGCTCACGCTAGCCTGGGATTGGGAGTTGGTTGGTCTTGAGTGATGGTATTGCTGAAGTTCTTCCTGGAAGATTTTAAAACGTAACGCCACCCACCCCCCTCCTCCAGATATGTAGGGACCACAGGCCTGCTCGGCCCATGGTTCTCAAAGTGTGCCCAGCACTCGCAGCCTGGAGCATTACCTGGGAATTGGTGGGAATTGCCAATGTGACTCCCCACCCTGAGTCAGGAGCGCTGAGGGAGGGCATGCAGTCTGTTTCAGTGAGCCTCCCGGTGAGTCTGATCAGTCTCAGAATCAGGCCCTGCTGTGGCATGGTGGCATGGTGACATGGTGGTTAGGGCCGACTGCAGGGTTAGAGTCCTGGACATGTGTGGGCGTGCTTGCATGCCTAAAATCCCAAAAGGGAGAAGGAATGGAGGAGAAGGGATTGCAGTGTGACCATCCCCCATGGGCGGTGCATTCTCTCTCTCTTTCTCTCTCTCGTGTGTGTGTGTGTGTGCATGTGTGTGTTTGTCTCCAGTGAGGACATATGCCCTCTAGCAAATTTAAAAAGAAAACGAAAACTCCGAACTACTGCTTCCCTGCATTTCTCCTGTCCCGGCCTCCCAGGGAGGTCTGCAGTCTGCCTTTGCGCTGACTACCCCTCCTAGACTCGTATTTGCCAGGGCATCACATTGTTCAAAGCTGGAGGTTCTCTGAGTCCTGCTGTCATTTTTTCCTGGCTAAAGTGGGTGTGTGGTTACGCATGCTTAAAATATTTTCCAAGTTGGAATTGGTCTGGCCACGCCTTGCGGCACAGGACTCTGGGCCTTCGGTCGCCCGTTGGTGCCTGTACAAGCCTAGACCCCAGATCCTGTTTTTAAAAGCATCAGCCCTGCCGCCCTTTGTGCTGGAACGAGCCCGTCTGTTTTTGTAAGAATAACCATCTTACCCCCACCCCCTTGCCGGCGAACTTCCCTGAAAAACTGGCCAGTTTTCTCTGGACGTTAATTGTGCTGCCTTCCCTGCACCGTCGGCGAGAAGCGAGAAGCGTTAGCGCCGGCTCTGCCTCTCGGGAGCGAGGGGCCTGACCTCTGTGCCTCGCTCTGCCTGTCCTGTCTCACTCTCGCTTTTACCTTCCTTTCCCTCCATTATTTTCCCTTTGTCCTCCACCCCCCCCCCAACTGCAGGCTTAGTTTTTAGTTCATCTTATCTGTGACTCTTTGCTGGCTGCCGTGGTTAATTTTGGAAGGAAATCGTAATACAAGTGAGTGCTCTTTGTTAGGAGATAAAATGGATGTAAAACAAGGAGCAGTTAGTAAAGGTCTGCTAATTGGCGTGTACACCTGGGCCCCTCCGACTCTGAACCCTGGGCTCCTTCACTTTAACACGTGGTCAGGATTTAGCTGGCGTGTTTGAAACCCACAAAACCAACACCACTGGGAACCCAGCGTGAGATGGGCAGCCGAAGGAAGGGGATTTAGACAGAAGGCCCTTCAGTGGTGCTGTCTTCCTTCCCCAGCATACTTGTGTGTCCGTGATGGAACCGCGCCAGAGGTGGAGTGATGGAAGTGGGGCCTGAGCAGTGTCTTACTGCGGTTAGAGGTGCCTTGGAAACACTTAGCTAAGTAAACTGTCCGATTATGAAGCGGTACTGAATAGGTCATAGTTCCATTATTGTCTGAGTGATATACTGTACTTTTCTCAGTTTTTGTAATCGAAAGCCCAAATTCACATTAAAAAAAAAAGATACACAAAGTTTTCATAGATATATCTGTTTCCGAGCTAAAACAGACATATCTGATCTGTTTATTGTGCAGCCTTAGCCTTGTGACAGGTGGAAAAGCACACCCCCACCCCGTTCTTCTTCTTATCCTCCTGCAGATGCCAAAGGAGAAGGAAGACACTTTGCCCACCATCACTGAATATCCACAGCCTGGCAGCCAGACACTGTGCCAGACAGTTAAGAAATGTTCAGCTCTTTCTCTAATCTTTACAAGTCTTGCAGGAGCAGACTTAAAAGATTTTCGAGTGTCTGGAGTGATGGATGTTAATCCTGCCTTTATCTTGGATACTAATTTGAAATAAGATGGAATTTTTAAAACTTTGAGTTCAATAATGGATACTGAACTTACTAAAGTAGGACTCTGTTGTTCTTGAGGAATCTCTACTGATGAAGAATCAAGTGAGGTGGGCCAGCAGGTGGTGTGGTCGATAAGGCACTAGATTCCCATATGGCCGACTACGGTTTGAATCCCAGACCTGGTGGCTTGAAAATCATGCATGAGTGCCCCAAATTCCAGGATGAGAATGGTATCTGATCTGTTTATTGTGCAGCCTTAGCCTTGTGACAGGTGGAAAAGCACACCCCCACCCCGTTCTTCTTCTTATCCTCCTGCAGATGCCAAAGGAGAAGGAAGACACTTTGCCCACCATCACTGAATATCCACAGCCTGGCAGCCAGACACTGTGCCAGACAGTTAAGAAATGTTCAGCTCTTTCTCTAATCTTTACAAGTCTTGCAGGAGCAGACTTAAAAGATTTTCGAGTGTCTGGAGTGATGGATGTTAATCCTGCCTTTATCTTGGATACTAATTTGAAATAAGATGGAATTTTTAAAACTTTGAGTTCAATAATGGATACTGAACTTACTAAAGTAGGACTCTGTTGTTCTTGAGGAATCTCTACTGATGAAGAATCAAGTGAGGTGGGCCAGCAGGTGGTGTGGTCGATAAGGCACTAGATTCCCATATGGCCGACTACGGTTTGAATCCCAGACCTGGTGGCTTGAAAATCATGCATGAGTGCCCCAAATTCCAGGATGAGAATGGAGGAGGAGGGATTATGGCATGGCCGTCTCTCTTGAGAGGTGATTTCTCACTTTCCCTTTGTTTCTGACAAGCACACGTGCCTTTAGGCAAACACTGCCTCCCTGCCCCCCCAAAAAAGTGAGATAACAGACTTGAAACTACTTTGTACTATTACCCCTTTGTGCAAACCAAGAGAGTGTTACATAAATGACATCTCAGTGGCTCGACTGCTATATGCATCTCTAATTAACAGGGAAGAGTGTTTGAGTTGTTTTCTAAAGCTTCGGAGCCTACATGTTGTCTTTACAAGGTCAAGGAGGAAGCTCTTCAAGAAGTCTCCTGGAATTGGAGCTGCATGGGTCGGAAATGGGCCCTTACATCTACGAAACAGATAATTGGGGTATAAAGGTGGCACATGAGCACCTCGTTATTCTCAGTAGATCTGAGCAGCATTTTACGTCTGTAGATCTAGTTCTTGGAAATCCTGAAACAAGAAGGAAGGCGATGAAAGGAGCTGAAACGTGTTTGTAACTTTCTGGGCCAGTGGCTTGGTCATTTGTATCAATAAAAGGGGCAAGTGTATGTTTGACGGGGTCCGTGTCAAGATCTCCAAATAGATCTTGTCCGCTGCTGTGAGGCCCCGTGTCTTACTCTGATCACCAAATGTCTTCCCCTCTCCCGGGTCTCGCCCCATGTTGAGCTGCCCTCAATTAGTCCCCTCTCTTCCACAATTTTTGGTAGTTGGCTGATACCCTGAAGTTATTCTGGCAACCTGGTGTCCCGGCCTCATTCAGATAGGCGGAGAAGGGACTTCTGCGTTGCCATTGCTTGCCTGTTTTGGAGGACTAGTTCCAGATCTTTGAACATTTAGGGGAGAGGCTCTCCTAGTCTTAAAGATGTGCTAAAACGATTACTTCCACGTGGTGGGAAAAAAAAAAAAAAAAAACAACCCTTCCCAACCTTAATTAAAAATGAAACCTGGGACCACCAGTGGCATGGTGGTTAAGATGGCCAGATCCCACATGACTGACAGTGAGCTTTGGGTCCTGGATCCAGGGGCTTGAAGAACATACTGTGTGTGTGTGTGTGTGTGTGTGTGTGTGTGTGTGTGTGCGCGCTCAGAATCCCAAGAGAATGGAAGAGAAGGGATTGAAATCACCCGGGGGGGGGTGATTTCTCTTTCCTCCTCTCTTTTTCTCTCTCTCTCTGTCTCTCTCCAATGAGCGCATGTGGCATATAACAAATTTTTTAAAAAGAAACTAAGTAATCTAAAAAAAAAAGAAAAGTCTCCTCTTGGTCCATGTCACATTGTGAAGCAGGACTCGGGTATGATGCCCTTTTAAAGCACTTTCAGGGAAGGAAAGCTTCTAGAAAGCCTTTATTTCTTGGTAACGACTTTGCATGTTCTCCTAAGTTTATTTTATTTTGAAGTAAATTTAACACCACCTCCACTCACAGGCTGATCTGGGTAAAGAATGTCTTGTTCCAAGTCAGTGGTTAAAAACTGCTGAGTTCTCCAGCCATAGCTGAAGGCAAAATGGAGGGTTTTGAAGGCAAAGGTCCCTGGTTTCTCCTCCTTCCTGTCTTCCTTCTTCCCTTATCCTACACAAGGCGAGTAGTGGAAACCATGGCTGAGGAAACCCACCCTACCGCCACTGAGCAGATCTGATGGCGGATGGGGCAGGGGAAGTGGTGGACCAGAAGCTTGGGGGGTTCCATAGTTTAAACAACTTCCGATGCTCTGGAGTGCAGACAGATCACAGACGACACGTGGATTTGACCCTGGATTGAAGGCTTTCTTCAGAGTCATGTAATTGTTAACATTCTGCTTGGCTGTTGGCTTGCACGCCGAGTGTAATGACTGTGTCTTTGTTCTCTCCCCCCCCTCGCCGTGGGCTCGTAGCACGTGTGGAGTGAGAGCGAGGACTGCCTGCCTTTCTTGCAGCTAGCACAGGATTACATCTCCTCCTGCGGCAAGAAGACGCTCCATGAAGTCTTGGAAAAAGTCTTCAAGTCTTTCAAACCTGTAGGTGCCTGCTTGGCTTCTAACGATGACTTGTTTTCCACCGTGATTGTGTTTTGAATACCCTGGATGTGAGGAAAGTGGGCAAAACCTGGATGACTAATTGTTTTTCTCTTGTCTGCCCTGTGGCTTAAAGATAGCAGCCAGTGGAGGGAGGCTGAGGGTGGGAGGAGGGGGGGGCGGGATGTGACACAGCTGTTTGCTGCAGGGACCACGGTTATTTCTAGCATCACTTGAACTTGAGAATCCCTGATAGGGTGGGACACAAATGGATCCTTCATGAGACAACTGAGTATTCCTCTTTCTGTCCAGTAGACCTAAAACCCGAATGCTTGGAAATGGTACGGAGGTTGTTTTATAATAGTGGGGTCTATATTTGGGGGATTGCCAGAAAGCTATACAAAGTTATGCCTCCATGTCTGTGGGTTTGAAGAGGGAGGAAATCGGATACTGGTTCTGTTCTTTTCTTTTTTATAGACTCTTTTTGATGGCTTACTTCTTTTTTTTTTTCTCCTCCCTCTCTTGGGATTTAGAAATCTATATTTCTGTGGCTAGCTGATGTGTGTTTTCACGCTAGCGGATAAACAGTAAGATGAATACTCGCTCCTACTGTGAAGATGTCCAATTTCCCTCCATCTCCGTCGCGAGCTAGTCAGACCCCCGCGTTGCAGCATTTCCCGCTGCACGGGCCCACCCGCCACATACATCACATGCCCAGCAGTTTTATATTTGGAGAGGTTTTTGCTATAGGGCACATGTGCTTGCCAGAAAGACAGAGAGAGACAGAGAGAAAGTGAGAAATCACCCCCTGGGGGAATGGCCACGCCGCAATCCCTTCTCCTCCATTCTCCTCTTGGGATCTTGGGCACGCACGCACAGGCGCCCGGCGTGAGTTTAAACCACTGGGTCCGGGACTCGAACCGTGGTTGAATACAAGGGAGTCCAGCGACATAGCCGTTAATGCCAACTGCTGGTCCCACCCGATGGTATTTATGCCACACTTTCTATTTCATTATTTCTCAAATCTTTTAAAATACCGTCTATTTCTTCACCGCAGTTTTCAAGCTTGTCTTTTATGTGTGTGAACACAGTGAGCTTAGCTGCGTAACAGACCGCGCCTGATCGGCCAGGCTCTCAAAGTCTGTAAGTTGTTCTGTCCTCTTTCCTTCCGCTGGTTCTCACTCCTGGTACCCTGTTTCTCTGCATGTTCAGTTATCTCTGTGTGCGCATTATTGTGTTTGAAAGTTTAGATATAGAAATACATCGAGGCCTAAGACGACAGTACCATGAAGAGATCCTGGCCCATGACTGGCTGGCTGAGGCCGACGAGGATCAGGGTGTCAAGACCTTGTTGAAGCTTCTTACTTCTCTCTCTCCCTCTCAGAAGAAAGAAAGAAATGAACATTTCCCGAAAGGATGACAGTGCTTTCCTCTAGAGAGGATTTTTGCATTTCTGTCTGCATTTGCCAGGACAGCCAGTTTGAGACCACCTGACCATAGTGGGAGGCCTGACAGGCTCCAGAGGGGCCAAGGAGGAAAAGCCAGGCTAGAGGTCTGGTCTCTTCTGTTCATCTTTACTCTGAGGGTGTGGGTCTTTGGAGGTCCCTGCCTGAAGTGAGGGCGGGATCTCGTAGTCTACTCCTTTGGAAGACCCAGGGCTTTGATTTTTAGTTCCCCAGTTCTTTGAGCGGGCTGAGAACACAGGAAGATTTCCAACCGTTTTTTCCAGGTCAGCAAATGCCTTTAGGACAAAGGCAGCTTTTTGTGTTAGGCTTACCTCTCTAGGTTCTAATTCTTCAATATATTTAAGAAGGAATTTTTCATGTTTAATCCAGCCTTTTTCTCCTTTTTCTTTTTTTTTTTTTTCATGATAGCATTTGTGCACGTCCATGAGGCAGGGGTGGAGGGCCCTCTTGACAAGTTCCCTTCATGCCATGGTCGCCTTTTCTCAGCCCTCCAGCTTCTCAGGGTCCTGGGTGTCTGTGCATGCGCCCAGCGTGTGTCTGCAAGCCAACGTGGGTTTCTGAGCCTGCGGTTGAACGTAGGTCCCGCCAACCCGGCCTCTTTGGCTGTTCTTACTGGAGAGTTGGTTCTGATCTCCTAGTCCCCACCATGATAAGAAATAGAATTTCATTGGCTTTTGTCACTCTGATTTGTATCTTTTGTCCAGCCAATTCATTTTCTTTTTTTCAAAAGTTATTTTATTTATCATTATCATTCTTCAGTTTGACCAGAGAGAGACAGGGAGATTGAGAAAACAAGCTGCCAGGCCTAGGACTCACTGTGGTCGGCCATGTGGGAGTCTAGCACCTCAACCACCACACCACCTGCTGGCCCCTAGCCAATTCATTTTTTTAAAATTTGCTAAAGGGACATGAGTGTATGTCAGAAAGACACAGAGAGAGAGAGAGAGAGAGAAAGCACCTCCTATGGGGGGATAGTCACACCCCAATCCTTTCTCTCCCTCCTGTTCCTTCTTTCAGGATATTGGGCACACGTGCACATGTGTCTGGACTTGAACTATACATTTGGCCATGTGGCATACAAACCAGGCTACTGGCTGGCCCCGCCAGCTCATTCTTTGTTTACTGATTTTCTGAGCCAGTTCAACTCCTTCAAAGTAGATATTTAACTTACAGGTGCCAGTCTGGCCCGCTTTCCTTCATTCAGTAGACATGTGCCACGTCCTTGCTGGGCACCGCTTACTGCTCTGTTCCTGGCACCTGATCCAGGGGGGTGCAGATCTGTGCCCTCAGAGCTTCCGTTCCAGTGGGGGAGACAAGGTAAATAAATACAGCAAACATTGCCCTAGTGGTAGTGCCAAGGAGAGAAGGAAATCAGGGACGGGGGTGAGAACAGGGGTCTGAGATCCTGGAGTACTTTACTGAGGGGGTTGAGAAGGCTTCACTAAGGTAACATTTGAGAAAAAACTTCATGAAGGGGTGAGGCCAAGGAGATTCAGTGGGAGTGTCTAGGCAGAGGGCAGCGGGGAGGAAGACGCCTGTGTTCAAGGAGCTAAAGGGTCCATGCGGCTGCAGAGAGGGGCCGTGCACATTGGTGAGAGATGAGCTGAGGGATCGCAGCGCACAAAGACTTAGGCTGTTACTCTGGAGCAGTGGGAGCCATTGGGAGGGTTAGAGCAGAAGGGAATGCGATCTGACTTCACTTTTTTCCCATAGGTTTTTGCTCTAACGTGTGTGTGCTCACTTGAGAGAGACAGAGACAGAGGGAAAGTTAGAAATCACTTTCAGTGGTCATGCAACAATCCCTTCTCCTCCATTCTCCTCTTGGGATTTTGGGCATACATGCATGCACGCCTGGCATGAGTTTCAAGATCCAGGGTTTGAACCACGGTTAGCCATGTGGGAGTCCAGTGACTTAACCACTGTGCAACCTGCTGGCCCCAGACTTCACGTTTGAAAAGGCTCTCTCTGATGACTGTATTCAGAATAGGCTGCCTGGGGAAGAGGGGGAGATGGGGCTCATTGGTTGGTCAGCCCCAGATTCTCCTTACGAGAGTACCGTCTAAGGTGGTAAGCAGAACCCCTGCTCAGCTGGCTCACCTGGAGGAGGTAAGCTCCGCTAGAATTTGTTGTGCTGTTTCCCTCCCCTCCCCTTCATCTGAGCAAGAGAAAGAGATGTCTTTGACAGGTTTCGATTCTCCTGCCCAACTTCCCAGTTAGCTGCGATACACGTGCTCCCCCGCACCAGACCTGATTCAGGCTGGGCTGGGAATCGACCCAGGCCTCCAAAGCAGCAGCATCTCAGCAGTGTGCACCATTGCGGTGGAAGCTCGCTGCTTGTCTTTACCAGGTTTCTGATTGTCTTTTGGCCACCAGGCAGCCGCATGTAAAGGGGGAAGTAAAGTGTAGTACTCACCCAAGATCAGAGAGGAGAAGGAAGAGAAGGGATTTCCATCCCCCGGGGGTTGATTTCTCATTTTCCCTCTTACTATCTCTCTGTCCTTCTCCAGTGAGCACATGTGCCCTATGGCAAAAAAAAAAAAAAAGAAGAAGAAAAAAAAGAAAAGTATTTGTTGAAGAAATGCTTGCCCAAAGTCACGAGCTTCTTGAGTGGGTAAAGCCAGCAAGTTGTTTATTTTCTTGCAAACCTGTGGTGAGCTGATCAGTCCCTGCAGCTGCTACTTGTTTATAGTGGGGCAACTTCTTCTTAGCACAGCCCTTCTTGGGACCAGCAATTGGCGTAATGGCTGTGTCACTGGGCTCCCATGTAGTCGACCATGATTCGAGTCCCGGACCCGGTGGCTTAAAACTCACGCTGGGTGTGTGTGCGTGCATGCCCAAGATCCTGAGAGGAGAATGGAAGAGAAGGGATCGCAGCGTGGTCATCCCCCCAGGGGTGATTTCTTGCTTTCTGTCTGTCTGGTGAGCTCATGCGCCCTATAGCAAAAACCTCAAAAAAAACAAAACAGAAGACAAACAGCACAGCCCACCTTGGCTTTGAATGCTTGGTCTCCCTTGGCCTCCCCCTGCCTTGGGCAGTCTCTCCAGAGATAGGAGAACCTTTCAGGATCTTCAGTTAACTTTGCTGGAGCTTGGGCACCCTGCGTGCAGGTGCTGAAAGACAGTCATCTTCTACCTTCCTCGGCGATCCCGCCCACAAGGCTGAGGCCCTGTCCTTTCAGCACTCTGTATCTTTCTTTTTTTGCTTTCTTTTACATTTTTTATTTTCATGACGGAGCACACGTGCATGCACGAAGGAGAGAGAAAAGCACCCCCCACGGGGCTTGATCATACTATTAGGTCATCAGAAAAGTCATGACATTTTTTCTATGTAAAAGTGTGTCTTGACTTTTCTGACATCCAATATAGTCCACGTCCTCCAGTCCCCCAGCCCACTAGGATCTGGGTACATGTGCCTGTGCCAAGATTTTTAGGCCAACCAGGGACTCAAATAGAGGTTGACATGTGGCTTCCAGCTCTGCCACCGGCTATACCACAGAGGCCAGGCCAAGTACTTTGTATCTTTCAGCCTACAAACTT